ATGCACAAAACCGGAGGGGTCTTGGAACAACGTAAATCCGACCGTGAATCTGCATGAAAGTAAATAACACAAGATGTATCGTGGTTCACCCTAATGTTTGGGCTACGTCCACATTGATTATTGTATTTCTCTGAGATGTTGAAGAGGGAGAGAGAGAGCTTCTCTGTGAGGATGAGCTCTGAGAGGGTGAAGGTATGGCCTAAGAATTGGCCTCCTCTATTGTGAGGGTGAGGAGTCCCTTTTATAGAATAAGGGCTCCTCACTTATTACATATTTGCCCCTTCATTTATTACATAATTACATTTGAGTCATCCGAGTATTTATACGAGATCTAAATACGGAGGCCCTAAGTATGGTATAAACAAAAAGTGCACGACATATAGGTGGGAGGGAATAACTCATTTATATACGAGAGCAATTTGGTCATTTCAAGGTGTAAGAAAATCCTATTTCTGTCCTATTTTTTTGCATGTCATGTGCATGGTCTGTGCATATTCGGTTCAATTTTGATTTTGGCAAAAAACCGAACCATTTTGAACCGAACCCAGCCCTGAAGGAAACTTCGCTTGTGTTTGTGTGGTGTCGATTGGAAAATTGGAGAAGGATTTAGGTCGCACCATTTGGGGGTTAGGGTTTTTCAAGCTGGAGTTAGGCGAGAGAGATTTTCGGAGAAAAGTGCACATGACTTCTAGGTGAGAGGAAATAACTCATTTAAATACAAGGGTAATTTGGTCATTTCAAGGTGTAAGAAAAGCCTATTTTGTCCTATTTTTGTGCATGTCGTATGCATGGTCTGTGCATATTCGATTTGTGCTATTTTAGTCCTAAGATTAAGAAAAAAAATGTAATTTTTGGAATTTCCCTATTTTTTTTGTGCCTTAGATGTTTTTAATCTCACTTATTAAATAATATGGCTATTCTAGTAAAGTTTTTTGGTAGTTTAAAATTATCAAACTAACTTTTTTCTTATCAAGTTGACACGAGTTACATGTGGGTAAACTTGTTAAGAACCCTTTATTAACGAATCCTTAACGTGTGACCAAATAACGACTCGATTAACGTGTTAACCCGAAACTTGTTCTTTTTGTGTTGTTTCAAATTGGGTTAACAAGTGATATAAGAAATTGACAATCATTATTTTACATTAAGAGGAAGGGAGAGAGTTTAACCCAAGACATAGCGGGTCATTATTTGTGTCACACTATTTTCATTGCTTGCACCCTTTAGGTTTAAGGTGATTGGACTAGGTTACGCTATGTGCACACCACAAACTAAGTCTCAAACTCAACACAAATATAATACGTCAATGTCATGAATATGAGTAGAAGCCTTGAGACTTATCACCTACAAATAAAACTACCTCAACTATTGGTGTCACGACACTTTCATACCTCATCTTATAAAATTGACAATGTCATACCTCATCTTACGAATTTGTGCCAATGTTATACCTTCCGTTAGCGTTGGTGTGAATTTCTCAGTTAAATGTTGATGTGGCTTGATCCGGGACCCATTTTCTATTAAAAAAATTAATAAAAAATTATTAAAAACTAAAAAAAAAAATTAATCTTTTTTAAATATTAAAATAATAAAGAAAAGTAAAAAAAATAAAACCTAAGGTCAGTACGTCCTTCCCCCCTCTCTCTCTCCCCCATCTTCCTGCAACCCAGAAAGAAGAAGAAGAGGAGGAAGGGAAAAAAAAAACCCCAAGCCAACCCAGTTCCCCCCCAACAAACCCAGAAAGAGGAAGAAGAAGAAGAGAGAGAGAGAAGAAAAAAAAAAAAAAACCCAGTTCGTCTGTCCCCCGCCGCGCCTACCCTTTTCCCTCCACACCCATTCCCCCCATTTTCTTCGTGCCCAGGTTCTCAACCTTCGAAATCGGCCTGGCGAAGGTTTCCCGATTCCACCTCAACGGGATCTGGGGTTTTTTTTTTTTTGGGTTGAAGGTAGTGGGTGCGAGGTTGGGTGCGGAGAGTGGGTGCGGGGAGAAGAGGGGGGTGGGGAGGGGGGGAAGACAAATTGGTTTTTTTTTTCTCTCTCTCTCTTCTTTTTCTGGGTTGCAGTTGCATGAAGGGGGAAGAAGATGATGATGGGGAGAAGAGAGAGAAGGGGGGAGGGGAAGAATTGACTGAGTGTTGGTTTTTTTTTTTTTTAATAATTTTTTTTAACTTTTCTTTATTATTTTAATATTTAAAAAATATTAAATATTTTTATTTTAGTTTTTAATAATTTTTTAATAGAAAATGGGTTCCAGATCAAACTACGTCAGCATTTAACTGAGAAATTTACGCAAACCCTAACGGAAGGTATAACATTGGCACAAATTTGTAAGATGAGGTATGACATTGTCAATTTTAAAAGATAAGGTATGAAAGTGTTGTGACACCAATAGTTGAGGTAGTTTTTTGTACTTTACCCTAAATACTATTAGACTGTAACATTATTTGGTTGCAAAGATTGTCATTAAAGCTTATAATTTCCTTGACCTATCTACATATTCGTTGATGACCAAATAGCCCTTATTATGTCAACAAAACTAACGCGTCTTTCATCCCAATCAACTAAATGGAGTAACATGGGGCAAGAATAATGAGGACATGAGGTAGTGCGAAACAGATAAAATATACTGTTAAAATGAGATTTTGTGTACAATACATACATGATGGCTAAATATGTTATTTTCAAGTAATTTCTGCCTATATTGTCTCCTACATACTTTTGTTCCTTAATTTTTTTTTTTTCACTCATTCAATCTAATGACTAAACAACACAATAAGCCAATTTAAAATGATTTATGCCCTCTCTTTTTAACTTTCTATGGTCTAATAATTGTCAAAGGATTACATTATTAGATTGGTGGCTTTGCGTCGACACCATATGGCAACCCATAAACCTACAAGGCAGAAGCCCACACCGACAGCAGGCACAATTTTTTTGGTGCAGTGGAGGAAGCTTTTTTTGGTGCTAACATCAAACATTAACAAGAAAAACACCTGATAAAACCGTTGCTGAATAAATCGAAACTAATCTTGTGAATAATCAATCATATACGCCTGAAAAAATTTGAGGTCCAAGCTGTGTATATTTTCAAAACAGAATGTAGAAGTAGACAATTATATAGAGCGAGAGGGAGAAGACGGCAACAATATGCTGCCAGAAGAGGAGAGCAGAAGCCTCTCTGACTGCATAACCCCTCAAGCTTGCAACTGCTCCTAACAATATGGCAGAAGGTGTGGTGTATTGCAGCAAAAGAACGAACCGATACAATTGATCATCGGCTACCAAAAGGTTCAATTTATCCGACAATAGAACCACACCAATCCCAATTAAAGGAAGTACCAAAAGCCTTGCAACAATAATCCCAATCGTAGTTCTCATTCCTAGATTGGATTTGTTGGGACCTTCAGCTAGCATTCCTCCAAGAACAAGCACAGCCGAAGGCACCATGGCCTCCGCTACAATTTCCAAGCTGTCTGTGAGGAACGAAAGGACTTGGTCATCATCAAACACAAGAGATTTCAATGTTGGAATCATGCCAATGACAACGGCCAACAGAAAAGCAATTGTTGGCGGCTGAAGAATGCGATGAATTGGTGTCCTCCAAGCAACATATCTGAATTTCCTCACGATCCTAGGCTCTGCCAGAGACACTTACTAGGCTTGGTACTTCTCGGATAACCTCCCTCCTCCTCCTCCTCACCAAGTTCCGAAAGACTATTGTGTGAAAGTACACCATTGCTGCTATTAAAAAGCCTTGCAATAAAGGGTGTCTTGCAATGTTCAGTTTCCTTATCTTCAATTCCAGGCCATTCAGCCTCAACGAGAAGCGGCCTAGCAAGATCACTTTCATCTCGATTCCCATTCCCATTCCCATTCCCATTCCCATTCCCATCCGAACCCAGTTCCGCAATCTCATGATTCTCCTCTTCCTCCACAACTGCATAAACAGCAGACTCCAATGGGGGCTCCATCATATGGTAAACAAGAGTGTAAACAAGAATGACAGAAACCCATTGGGAAAAAGAAACATATGCCACACCAGCCTCAGTACAGTCATCTTCTGTACCGAAAGGGTTATCATCACTATGGCAAACAGATGCAACAATTGCAAGAGGGAGATTACCCGTGTTTCCGAACGCAGTCATGATCACGGTGAATCGAAAAAACTGAGGTGGAGGCCTACAAATCACTGCAACCAGCAAACCCAACACACACCCGATTGCCGTACTTATTACAACATTAACAGGAATGAACCACCAATTTACAAAATTCTTTAGACTAATTGATGGCCCTAGATTTGTGAAGATTAAGCAGGGTAAAAAGACAGCAAATACCAACTTACTGAGAAATGTGAAAGTGAGTTTAGGGACAAGTTGGTATTTTGGGTGGGCAAGAAGAAAACCAATGGCAGCCATTGAAAGGAGCTTCAGCAGAGGAAGCACTGCACTTAGCAGCAACCCTCCTTTTAGATTGCTTCCTTGCATTGCAGGTAAAATCTCCATATTTTGTCGATCCCAGATGACAAAACTACTAATTAAGCAAACTTTGATAAAATCGAATCAAATCAAACACTGTTGAATTCAGAAATCACAAGACAATGAGAATTGGAGATGTGGGTTCTGACCTTTGAATCCGAAACAATCATTTGGTGGTCGATTCAAGGATCTGAAAAGAGAGAAGAACCAAATCTCAGAGACGTTCTTGTGTTAAAATGCAGAGCTCTCATAGAACTTACTCAATTGATATTAAGTTTAGATGGGACAGCCAGAGAGTTGAAGAAACGGATAATCCAGAAGAGCCGTAGGATTCGCAGCAAATCATATACAGACTACAGTTGTGAGAGTTGAAAATTCGAAGGTAGAGGGCCATCACATGATGCACGTGATGTCTTCTATGATTGTCTGTGGCTATGATAATATTGATAAAAATAAATTGATAAAAAATTATAATAAAAGCAAAGGTGGAGGGGCAACACATGATATACCATGGTGAAATTGCTCCTCTCTTCTAATAATTAATAATTTAATCCATTAATGTTATCTTTTGAAATATATATACGGTAGAGACTAGCTGATATGATCACGTGAGTGGTGTATTTAGGAAAAGGATGCTCTCAACCAAACTAACCTTGAGAAATTTTGATAACCAGCCACTTTTTGCACCACAAAATGAATTTTAGCCTACATTTTATATTTCTTACAAGTTTATCCATATGTCCTTGTGAAATTTCAAAAATATCCTTAAATTAAAACACTAATTCCCTCTCTCACTGATCCCTTTCCTTTCTTATGCTACAGAGAGCCAGTGGCCTACCCATCATACCCCCTCATCGTCACCCGCCCATTTTGTACCTGTTCATTCGAAAACAAAATTAGCATTACCAAATCAATATCAATGGTGTCGTGAATTCTACTATCTGTGCAAACATTATTTGATTATGGTCGTTGGCGGCCACCTTGGGTACAAATGAACTTCAACTTGTACGATTTCCTTCCTCTCAACCAAAAAGACCTTTTTGATCCCATAACAATCTGCTAGCATTTGTGTCAATCATCCTCTCCCCGCTCCAAACTCAACCACCGCAGGAACACCATTCACATCAGCAAAGTCAGCCCTCTCTCCTCCTTCCGAATTCTTCAATGCCCCCAAAATCTTCCGAGTTCCCAAGAATTGACACCTGCTGCATAACATGTTTCTCTTGAAATGGCAATTTTCTGCAAAGAACAACTTAATCTAACATAATCAAACAACCCCCGTCAAGAACAAACCAAACATACCAGCTTGTACATACATACCTATCTACCTCTCGTTTAATCCACATCCCACAAGCTTCCGTCACCTTATACGACTCCCCAATATCCTTACACAAAGATTCATGAACAGACTCAATTTTTTCAACTAAAGGTCGTCCAGTGCACAAGGCTCCCGCTTTATGCAGGGTTTGGGAGAGTCAATGCCAAATCAGGCACAGTCATATTATAAACAGCATTCCTCTTCATCTCCGAAACAATGTTATCCACAGCTCCCAACACGGGACCATTAGACAATGCCAAATCTCCGGTCCCCTCGACTCCCAACGATTCAATTTCATCATGGTCATCTTCTTCGCCAGCATTGATACCCTTTTGGTAAAAGGGTTGGTGGGTCAAAGACTCCACTTGTTTGGGTAAAGGGCACCTCCTAACATGTGCTTCCAGATTTTCGCCAAGTACACAGCTATTAAATCACATAAACCAACACAACAAACAAACGATTTCAACAACTCACTCACACAGAGAGACCATGTTTTCTGAAAGCAAGAAAGATTCAAACTTCAAATTACATAGACTAATAAGAGAACGAAGGAACTTACTGAGAAGGGTCAATTGGGCATGGAACCCCCTCGCCATCCGGCCTCTCCATGTGGTTCCCGCAAAACCTACCAATCAGAAACCATCTCTAGAGAGAGATAGAGAGGAGTGAGAGAGAGAGCGCTTACAGAGAATCGTTGAGGGGGACATTGGCACAAAATCTCTTCTTTTTCGGAAGCCAAAACCTGCATCGAGTCTCCATTTTTTGCTCTGTTTTTTTCACTCTCCACTTCCACCCCAGAGAAAAAAGAAAAGTTTAAAACTGCTGCTTCTACGTACCTTTGTCGTATATAATCAACGACGCGACGTATTCTTATGTTAGTGCTGGGCCAAAGCCCATTTGCTAAAGCCCAGGGACAAAAACGTCCTCAAAACCATAATCCCCTCTCCCTTCTAAAAAGCGCGCATTTGGAGAGAGAGTTGAAAACCCTAGCCGAATCTCCCCCAATCTCTCTGTGTCTTCTGCGGAGAGCAAAGGATGCAGATCTTCGTGAAAACCCTGACGGGGAAGACGATAACCCTAGAGGTTGAGTCTTCCGACACCATCGACAATGTGAAGGCCAAGATCCAGGACAAGGAGGGCATCCCGCCGGACCAGCAGCGCCTCATCTTCGCCGGCAAGCAGCTGGAGGACGGCCGTACCCTCGCCGACTACAACATCCAGAAGGAGTCGACTCTGCACCTGGTGCTCCGCCTCCGCGGTGGCGCTAAGAAGCGTAAGAAGAAGACCTACACCAAGCCCAAGAAGATCAAGCACAAGCACAAGAAGGTGAAGCTCGCCGTCCTCCAGTTCTACAAGGTCGACGATTCCGGGAAGGTCCAGAGGCTGAGGAAGGAGTGCCCCAACGCTGAGTGCGGCGCTGGGACTTTCATGGCCAACCATTTTGACAGGCACTACTGTGGTAAGTGTGGTCTCACCTATGTTTACCAGAAGGCCGGCGGCGACTGAGTTAAACGCACCGTTTAATATGTTCGTTTCTGAAACAGATGGTTAAGTTTAAATAATTTTGATTTAGACTTGGAACGGTGGTTGTTATGGATTATGGTTTATGTTTTTGATATGGTACTTTAGAATTTTAATTTCGACTTTGAAGTTCAATGGTTAGCTATCACAATTTTGTTTTATTATTTGTCCTGTGATTTTGTGTGCCTTAGATTATTGAATGGATGGATAAACTCGTTGTTATTGAATTGGTACAATCTGGTTTCCGATTGTTTCTGCTGCGATGGCGTGTAATTGGTTGCGTAATAACGTAACAAGTGACGATTGTCATTTGGACCCGTTTGCAGTCGGTTCTTTAGTGTTCATTCCGGAGTGGTTTCCAATGGTTGAGTGGAAATTCTTTATGTTATTCGATTGTTAAACAATGTAGAACTTCATAATAATTTATGTTAGTTATGTGTCTTTGAATAAATCATTTGGTTGGAGGCCTCTTTCATGGACTAGTTTTTAAATTTTTGGTTCTGCTCAACGTATGCTACTTTAAACACGGAGTGAGTGTTTGATTGCTTCTTATGTGCTCCTCACTTGCTGCTGAAGCACTAGTGCTTGTATTGGTACATGATATATATACTGCCATTTCTCGTGTCACAATTGCGTTTTGAGGAGTAATTTCTGTTGGAATTGCTATTGGATATTCCTGCATTTGAATCGAATTGGTAACTTTCAAGTTAAAGTTGTTAGGAATGCATTACGAAAATTAGATAGATGGAATTGAAAATGACTAGATACAATAACATTTTAGAGAAGTATCAAGCGACACCGTGGAAGGTGTCATTTAAAAGTCCTTTATTTAGTGTGTTTGTAGTGCGTTGTAGTGTTTTCGTAGTAGCTTGTTGGTGCTTTGAGTAATTCATTGGTTGTGTCCTTGCATTTTTAACAACTTAAACTTCCAACTCCTTGAGTAGTATGTAATTCATGCTTGCTGAAGTAGTTAATGGTTCTGCGTTTCTTTCTTCATCATTCTGCATTTGGTTTTTCCTCACCCGCATTGCGAAATTTGGGTTGATGTTAAATGTAACCAAAACCTGTGGAAGTTTGATATCCCTTCTTATTGAATAATATTCTAACACACATGCTTATATGAAATTTAAAATATGTTTAGGCTAGTGAATTTAACACGTTTTAAAATGTAAACAATGGTAGATGGCTGCAACTCTCGTCGTCGTTCGTCCTAGCATTAGGATCGTAGAAATGAACGAGGAAACAATCTGGGGAGGATTGAAACTTTAGAGTTGATGATGAGGGAGTAAATCCAGTAACAGGGGATGTGCCACACTGCCAACCCAAAATACCACAAAGGTGCCAATGGTGTGTTCAGCTCAAGGAAAGGATATGGCCACCTGCACATTCAACCCATAATTTCCATGCATTTTATTTTTATTTTTAATAAAACTAATTCCATGTTCCATCAAACAATAAATAAAAAATGGAACAAAAATGGCTTACCATTTAACACCAAAGGCGTGGATGAGCCATTGAAAACTAATATAGAGGACTCCGAAGAGCGCAAAATATGCAAAACCCAACTTCGAAAATGGCTGACAAAACAACGCCACAACATGCATCATTCATTAGTTTAGTGCTTGGAAGGCCAAGGTATGTTCTTCGTGTAGCATTTAGACCCCACGACTCTACGAAATTATGTCAATACATCAATGTAGTAAGGCTAACTAAGGAGGCATTTGACAACACTTTCGTTTTCGCTTTTCACTTTTTTGAAAATTCAAAACTGAAAAACGAAATGGTTATTATACGGACCTAAATTCACCAAGAAAACGAAAAGCAACTCTTTGAAAACTGAAAATGAAATGGTTATCAGACGGGTCCTAAATTCACCAGGATATAGAAAGGCAACCCAAATTAAATAGCATGTTACTTACGAGCCTATTGAGAGCAGTGTCCACGATTAGAAAAACAGCGTTGAGAGCATGTATGGCACCTATCAACTGCAAACCAAACATCAAGTTAGAGGAAATTAGGGTTGTGGGTTTTAACAAGTATGTCTATGAGATAATGACAAACATCAAGTTAGGAGTGTGTGTCAATTAAGTTAGAAGATGAGAAACTCACAAAGGTTAGTTGGAATTCCATACTTGTGAGGAATGGCAGTATCAGACACCAAAATACAATGTCTGTTAGCATTACAGCACCTGCGCACGTCTGATTCGAAAAGACGTGCATTAGCTTCTAATCTTCAACCATATAAAACCGCAAATCATTCGAAACTAACTGTTTGGTTTTGGAATGTAAGGCAAGACGAAGATCATATTGATTTAGAATGACCAACAACGCCGCTACTCACGCCTAGCTACAACAGCTTCAAAGATTAAAACTACTCTTAACATGTTATCGTTCGATATATCATACCAAGGATGATCAAAAGTTGAGCACTCGAAAAAACCGAAAAGATGAGAAATTTGACGGACAAATTATTGTTAACCTGATAAATGATGAGCATCAGATTTCCAAAGAATCCAGCTCTTTGTTGAATCGCATTTCGAGCTTGGTTGCTTTTCGGTTTCACTTTACCCTTGATTTGATCATCTGTGTAAGAAGACCTTCCAACCCAACATCCATGCGCAGATATAATTGTCCCCAGCTACACCAACACAAATCCAGACTCATGATATTACGCAAACTTAAACCAATTCTAAGCTAAGTTACTGAGCGAGTAAAATTAGTGAGAAACAGGGTTTAATTAATTAATTACCCCGAAATAGAGCATAACCAAAGCAAAGGTCCACCTGCAGGCCGGCCAGTTTAATTAGTTAAAACCAGATTAGAAAGATTAGTTAATTAAATGGAAGGGGAACGTATAACTTACTGGGTGTAGAAAACGAGCGTGAAAAGACCAAATTGGGAGGTCATGTCGAAGAGCAGTTTGGCCATTAACACAAAGGCGAAAGCTCGATAGAAGAGAAGCCAGAGAGGATCGAGGGTTCTCCAGCAAGTGCCCCACAGCTCCACCGATTTCAGTGGCGGCTCCGGCTTTCCTTTCCATGCGAATTTGAGAGCTACGGTGGCCGGAGCTGCTATAATCAGAGCGCAAACCAGGACTTGCCATTGAAGCCAGTACCCGAGGACGGGTACTTCTCCTTCACTCCACATCTCTCAACACTCTCGGATCAAATGACGAAATCAGATGAGATTCTTTCAGGATTCTGGGTTTGTGGCTAGGTGGTTGAAATGGAAGACAAACACACGTACTTATTCTACAGGTATGAGCACATATAAAATGACCAATTCCAATTATTTTAGTGTGGGATGGAGCCTGCTCATTTTCTCGTGATATATCATGCATCATTATATAAATAAATTATTAATTATTTTAAAATTTATTAATTTTTTAATACAAATATCACTTCATGTATATTGTCGGTCACATTAACAAATCTTTGGCTGCTGATGCCTCAACACTCTGTCCAACGGATGATGTGCGTTTTGTTTTTCAGTCTTGTATGTTTGTAACTGTCCCTTGTATTTGGGGAGCAAACCAGAAGGATATTCAATTTCTTTTCTTTCAAGATAACGCTTTATCACAATATGGTATAGTCTGTAAAGATTTATATTTAAAATTAAAAACTTAGTCAATTCTATATTAATTATTAGTACGTAAGCTATAAATATTGGATTAAAATGGAACTTTCTGTTAATTATTAGCACGTGGGTTTACCTATTTTATCTTTTTAGTCTCACATATAAACTAATAATTAATAGAGAGTTAACAAAATTTTATTTTCAACTTTGGGCCTAAATCCTAACAGACTTCACCACGGGGCTGAAATCCTAATTTTTTAACCAGAAGAATTATCTTTCAACTATCTTATCACCACAAAGACTATTAATCCAATTAAGCCTAATATTATGTACTTACTACAAATCGATCCTTGCTGATTTTCTTCTCTTTTACTAAGGATTTGCCTTACTGATTTCCTTTCTTTTTATCATTTAATAATTTAACTCGTTAATATTATCTGTTTGTCAAAAGACAAAGAAACTTGTTTTTTTATTTAATTTTCGGTTTTCATTATTATCAGCTCTTTCTTGTAGGAATACAATCAAATCATATTTTATCGGAAAAAAAAATTAATTGGGTAAAAAGGGAAGGCAGCACAAAGTCGGTGGTCGAAGGAAGTTGTTAGTTGGCGATACTCCTTAAGTTGTGTTTATTACTTGGTCAAACTAAAGCAGCTGCCAACACATTCAACGTGTAATGCAACTATCCAAGTGAGGAAAAGCTCATTAGTTGAAAACTAAAAATGATTAACCATAAATCATATGCCCACGTATTTTTTATTTTGCCCAAAGTAAAAATGTTCTTTTGATCACTCGGTGATCGAGGAATGTAGGTAGAAAATAAGTGGATGTGCATTTAGGTACCATTTGGTACGCAAACGGGATGGAACGGGACGGGCGGAACGGGATGGAACGGGACGGGCGGAACAGGACGGAACAGATGATGTAAATATTGAAAAAGATAAGGAGAAATTTTGTCATAAAATGTTATAAATTTGTGTTCCACGGATGTGGAACGGGTCGTTCCAGGGGGAAGAGGTGGAACGAAAAATCAGCCAAATTTCGTCCCATGGGACAACCCGTTCCACAGATGATTCTTTTGTTGATGCGATTCAGTTTCGTCTAGGATCTACAACCATTGACGAACTTCATGGCTTGCTTGTTAGCAAAGAGATTCAACTTGCAAATCACAAAAAAAACTACTACTTCTTCTGGCGTTTTTCAGGGTTTCAATTCAAATCTTAGATCATTAACTAGAATTCTACCTATACTGACCTCGAATTCTAGTTCCCAAGCCTTTCTTGCTCAGAATTCATCCAATTTCAATTAGTATCAAGGTCGTAATCAAGATCGAAATCAGTCAAACCCTAGGTCTTTCAGAATAAGGGAAACTTCTATGGATATCGTGGCAATAATCAGCGTCAGAATTATAATCGGTATAATCAAAGGAATAACCATGGAGGTCGTTCAAGCTACAATTTTTCTGGAAAAATAACTACTTGTCAAATCTGTCGCCAGTATGATCATGAAGCTTTTGAATGTCCTCACCGTATGAATCCTCAGTTTGGCAGTAGGAACTCTCAGACAATTATGTGTGCCAACACTTATAAGAATGCTTTTCCTTAATGGCTCATTGATTCTGGAGCTAGCTCTCAAATGACAAGCTCTTTGGCAAATTTGCAAAATCCAAAACCTTACACAAGCCTTGAGCAAGTCTACATTGGTGATGGCAAAGGCTTGCCTATCTCTAATACTGGTTCTTCACACATAAATACTCCTTATCATATTTTTGCTTTAAATATTGTGTTACATGTTCCTAATTTAAAGCAAGACGTACTCTTTACAAATCAATTTACACTTAACAATTGGTGTTCAATTCACATCTATCATTTTCACTTTACTGTGAAGGATCTTTCTTTGGAGAGAATGCCTTTTAAAGGCCTGTGAAGAATGGTTTTTATCCTTTCTTTGCCTCTGTCAATGCTGGTTCACAAAAGCTTTTTGCAGCTACTATCAAAACTTCTACAGAGATTTGGCATCCCTCTTTCAAAGTTTTACATAAACTTGTCTCTCAGTCTAGTATTCCTATTTCTACTAGTATGAATAAGACTTTCTGTCCCAATTGTGCTTTGAGTAAAAGTTCAAAACTGTCATTCGTGTCAATATCTAGTGTTACAACTAAACCATTGGAACTTTATCACACAGATGTCTAGAGTCTAACTCCAATTCTCTTTGTATCTGGTTATAGATATTACCTTCTTATAGTGGATGATTTCACTAGATATTGCTGGTTCTTTCCTATCAAATGTAAATCTAAGGTGTTCAAAACCTTTATTGAATTCAAAGTTCTTGCTGAAACTATGTTAAATACCAAAGTTGTTACTTGAGATTTGATTCTGGAAGTGAATTTCTTAGCTCTGTGTTCACTCAATATCTCAAAGATAATGGCATACATCATCAATTATCTTACCCTCACACACCAGAACAAAATGGTTGTGTGGAGCGCAAGCATAGGCCTTTAGTGGAAATTGCTCGATCACTTCTAGCTGCCTCTAATGTTCCTCATATTTACTGGGTTGAGGCATTCTCCACAGCTGTTTATCTCATTAATAGATTGCCTACTATGACTAGATCTTGTCCTTGGGAAAATCTTTTCAGCAAGTTTCCAGATTATAAAACATTAAAAGTGTTTGGGTGCAGGTGTTTTCCTTGGTTGAAACCATATACATATTCCAAATTAGAGTCTAAAAGTAAACCTTGTGTCTTCCTAGGCTATAGTCTAAATCACAAAGGTTATAGGTGCCTTGACATTCAATTAAAAAGGGTTTACATTTCTGGACATGTCATATTTGATGAATTGACATTCCCATTTCATCAAGTTTTTCAGGTTTAACCTTCTATCTCTTCAGCTTCTAACCATTCTTCTCAAATACCTTCAACCCTAACCTTTACTAAGATCACTAATGGACCAGCCTACCCTTCAATACCTATCAATCAAGTTGCACCCTCACTTAACCCTAACACTTCACCACCTCTACCACATCTACCACCTCTATCCCTAAACATTCATCACCTCTACCAACACCACTACGTCAAAACATTCACCCCAAGCAAACAAGATCCAAATCTGGGATTTTTAAACTTAAGGCATACTCTGCCATTAAACATCCTCTTCCTTCTCACATCTCTCAAGATTATCTACCTACCACTTATCTCTTAGCCTCAAAACACCCTCATTGGAGACAAGCAATGCATGATGAGTTCAATGCATTGGTAAACACAGACACTTGGTCTCTTGTTCCTTCTTATCCATCTCATAATCTTGTTGGGTGTAAATGGGTGTTCAGAATTAAAAGGAAGGTTGATGTACTATTGATAGGTATAAAGCTCGTTTAGTAGCTCTAAAGGTTTTCATCAACATGAAGGTTTAGACTACATAGAAACCTTCAGTCATGTAGCAAAGCCAGTGACCATTAGGCTCCTTATTACACTTGCATCTCAGTATGATTGGTTTCTCAACCAATTAGATGTCAGCAATGCATTTTTGCATGGAACTCTATCTGAAAATTTGTTTATGCAGCAACCATCTGGTTTTCAAGATCCTACCAAGCCTAATCACGTCTGTAAGTTACACAAGAGTCTTTATGGGCTCAAGCAAGCTCTTCAAGCCTGGTATGAGAAGCTTCATGGTGCACTTAAGTCTCTGGGATTCAGTGGATCACAAAATAATCATTCACTATTTGTCAAGAATGATCATTCTCTTTATTCTTGTATATGTTAATGACATCTTAGTCATAAGTCCTTATTCCCAAGCTTGTAAAAACACAATTGCTCAACTTAGTGTTCTTTTCCCAATCAAGGATCTGGGTTCACTTCATTTTTTTTTCCTTGGAATTGAAGTTAAAAGGTCTTATTCTGGTATCTTTATATCTCAGACCAAATATCTTCTTGATCTACTAAAAAAGACAAACATAGCATGTGTAAAACCATGCACTACACCTCTAAGTACATCTAAATTGGATCATTCATCCCTTTTGCTTTCTAATCCAGAGGAGTATAGATCAATTGTAGGGGGTTGGCAATATCTTACTCGGTCCAGGTCAGATATTTCCTTTGCAGTTAATTTGGTTTGTCAGTTCACGCATCAACCAAGACAATCTCATTTTCAGGCATTCAAAAGAATATTGCAATATTTGAAAGGCTCACTTGATTTAGGTCTTTGGTTTCCTAAGACTTCAAACCCTCTCACTATAAATGCTTTCTCATATGCAGATTTGGCAGGGTGTGCTCTAGACAGAAGATCAATATGAGGTTTTTGCATTTTTCTGGAAAAGTCACTCATTAGTTGGAGTGCTAAAAAGCAACCAACAGTGGCACGTTCCTCCATTGAAGCAAAATATCGATCTCTGGCTAACACTGCTACTGAGATTACTTGGCTTTGCAAATTACTGGTTGATGTTGGTGTGATTCTATCATGTCCTCCTAAGTTGTGGTGTGACAATATCTCTGCTATTTTTTTAGTCAAGAATCCCTTGTGTCATGCACGGACCAAACATGTGAAGATAGACTACCACTATATCAAGGAAAAGAGTACCTTCACATGCAGTCACTGTTCATTTTGTGTGCTCGTAGGATCAAATTGCAAATATATGCACCAAATCACTGTCCAAGCCAAGATTTTTGTTGCTCCGAGACAAACTTTCACTTCGGTTGCCCAAGTTCAATTTGAGGGGGCATATAAAGGATAGTTTTGTAAAAGACAAAAGTTAACAGTATCAATTTTGTAATTACATTGATTTTCTGTTATAGGTGGTTATAGGACGGTTGGATTTGTTATGGGGAGCTGTCAAGTGCACAGCTATTGTATAAATACCAGCCGATGTAATCTTATCATTATTCAATGGAATACATTTCCTAATAGATTGATCCAAGTTGCAACTACTTAACAATAACAGTGTAAATTGTAAAATATGCAGAGGGAGGGGAGGGGGTTGGATTCGATCACCATGATAAATCATTCCCAAGTTCCAACTGTAAGTTTCTCTTTTAAATAAAACACAAGATTAGGCGAAAGTTACTCGTCCGAGTAAGACGATGTAGGACAGAGAACGTACGCCCTTTCTGGAGGCAGGAGACGATAAGGAAGAAAGCAGCTAATCTCTACTAGTAAGGCCTCACAAAAGCGTGGGGAAACCATTGGGCAGAAGTGAATACTTTGCCTTTATAATCAGTGCAAAAATCCCATAGCAAGGGATGTGAACCACGGCCCCACAAAAATACCTGTCAAATTAAAAGATTTCATCACATTTTTCTTCTTATTACAACTTGAACTGAAAGGAAAAACGGAGAATAGATAAGCTAGTGTACCATAGTGGAGCCCATGGCGTATCGAGCTCAAGGAATGGATACGGCCACCTGGGAAGATACTCAAAATAATGTTACTAGCTCTTTACCGCAAGTAAATGATCATGTTTGTGCACGAGAGAAAATATTTAATTAATTACGCGTACCATTGGAAACCTAATGCATGAATGATCCACTGGAAGGCAATGTAGATGCAGCTCCAGAGGACAAAATATGAAATGCGGAACCATGGAAATGGCTGAAAAACAAGATGGAAATGACATCAGTAAACAGATGACGACAAAGAAATGATAAAACCGGTGTACAAGGGCTTCCAGACTGCCATAACAAAATACTTACAAGGCTGTTAAGAATGGTATCCAGAAGAAGGAACGCTGCATTTAGCGTATGCATGCAACACATCAACTGCCAAGCACATGTACAAGTCAGTTACTGATCAATCTATTCAGGTACGATAGGAAATGGAATAAGATAGCAGCATTATTGTTCATAGATCAGAACATAGCTAAGCAAAAAGAACCTAGATTTAAAGGATGCGCTAGAATTGGACATATTACAAAAAGCAGACTCTCACCGTATTGAGGCCAAGGTGAGCATTTGATAAAAATGGAAGGATGACACACCAAAAGACGATATCTGTGAGGACAACAGCTCCTGCACAAGTCTGTTACTAAAACATATCAGCTTCTGAGCATACTGCATACCTCAAACAAAATTCGTTCATCAAAATGTTTCGAAAGGCAAGCTAATATTCCCTACCATCAGACACAATGGATATTACTATTCGACACAATTGTATATTTCTAGCAGCCCCAATTTGATATTAGTTAGTTAATGCATGTGTGTGTGTGTGTGTGTGTGTAACCAGGCTCACCAACAAAGTACAAAATCTGGTTCTTGATTAACTAACCTGGAACGCAATTTGCATAAGATAACCCCAAAATCCTGTTCGTTTCTGAATTTCCTCCAGAGCATACTGGCTTTGCAATTTGATGGTACCGTTATTTCCCTTTTGCCTATAGGTATTTGCAGTTCCATTATTCTCTTCCACTTCCCTTCTCAAAGCTTCCGTCCTTGTCCCATTTCCAGTGGGGGGCTTGTTTAAGGATAACCAACAACCGTACCCAGACACTAGAGTTCCCAGCTATATAAAGAAATTACCAATAGGTAAAGGCAAAGCAGGACTGATTTGAAATAGATATCCTTTTGCTAATTCATTAGTTTAAACATCCAAAACCCAAATTGGCTCTATACGTTGTTCATGTTTGTTTCTCTATGTGGAAGTCTCCACCACAGAGGGCATAGAGCATTTAAGATATGGACAATTAACAAAACAAGCCAAAAATAAGGGAAAACATGTGTCTTATTTTGAAGGAGAACATATGATGTTGGATAGCATGACATACCGCAAAATAGATCATAACCAGTGTAAATGTCCACCTGCAGATTAACAAGATCGAAAAACTGTTAAGGAGATCGTTGGCATACCATCAACACACATAAGGTCACGTATTGTAATCAACTGAAAGTGACATAGATACGGAGGATAACTAGTGCTTCAATCTAGTTTCCACGCAAATAGTATCCGTCCTAGTTAAAAATCCATTACTCTCTTGCACATGATGTGTACAATGTTAGGCGAGCTCGATGTATCATCCTCTTACACACTGAGACAAACTGATCACTGGTCTCGCCCTTTTCATCAAATCACTACTACTATTCTACTCGAAAACCAAATTCGTTTTTACGGGTGGAAACTAATGCATCATGTTCATAAAATTGAATTCTTACTCAAACTTCACTACCCTAATTGATTATCCACAGAAGCGGTGGATTTCCCCGGTGGTTACCAAGTTTAAACCCTCTCCCTCCCCTTATAGTGTATATTATCGCTTGTAATAGAAAAATAATAACTGGTTATCCACGAGTTACATAAAACAACGCATCAAGTTATGAAACAAAATCTTACTCGGTGTAGTAAGTGAAAATGGAAGGACTCCATTTGACAAGATCCCAAGCCAAGAACCCAGCCAAAGCCAGAAACGAGACGAACCGAGACGCGAAGAGCCAGCCGGGGTGGATCCCTTTCCAGCAGCTAGTCCAGAGCTGGGAAGTGCTGACGTGGCCCTTCGGCAGGGCGCTGACAAACACATGGCTTTCGGGGCGGGTCACCAGAAGGCTGTCGTACATGGTGCTGTCTTCGAACCTCTTCGAAGCTCCTTCCTTCCGCCAAATCACCCACAACGCGGCCACAAAAGAAACCCCAACAATGGCGAAGCAGACGAAGTCGTACCAGTAAACTTGCAGCGCCATTGTCGGAGATGAAGACTTTCAGTGAGAACCCAGAATCAGTTGTTCCGAATTGGGAAGTGCAATCGTGATAAGATGGACGACATTTGTGGTGGTTCTGGAAGGTGTTTATTTGTGTTGGTTTGGTCGTTCGTTGGCGACGACTAGTAGTTATGACTGTCTGGTTTTGCTAATTGACTGGTGAGTCATGTCGACTACGTTTGGACTAAGATTGAGTGATTGGGCGGAATTGGTAGATGGGATCCAGAGATGATCTCTTTATATACTTCACGATGTAAATTGTTCTCCACATAACAATATATTTTTAGACCAGAATGTCGTAATAACAGTAACCAATTTCATGTTTACTACTTTTAATTATGAGTACTCTTTCGCACATTATTTTTCATAAATGAGTATTTGAGATTTAACTAAATCAAGTTTAGTAATTTAGTTAAATCTCAACAGTACTATGATCTAGTAGTATTATTCTTCACTTGTAGGTGTAGATGAGAGGTCTTAGGTTTGATGCTCGCCAAAACAGAATTTGAACCACATTATTGTTAACTTATTGTAAAGCTTAGTTCACTTTCTTGGTCTTAATATAGATAATATAGTTTGTTTAAAAAAAATCTCAATAGTTCTTTAGGGTATTTGATACTTAAGAGGGGCAAAGCTCCAAGAATGATAGAGTTTTTATCTAGGGAACTTTAACGAAAAATCATATTTTTATCCTAAAAAGTCAATCATAGTACTATTCATTTTATCCTTTATTTTGTCCTTATCGTTAAAATTCAAAATTTTCAAATCATTTTCATTAGTTTTTCTTTTTATCTATCTGACCAAAGACAGGGCCCAATTAAAAAGTACGTCCTTTTAGATTGTGACATTCCAAATAAATGATTTACGTCAATGCCGTGGACCCGTTAGCAATAGCTACAAAAAACAAAAGAAGAAAAGCTTTCTCGGGTTAGGAAAATAGCTGGTCTTTTGAATCTTCCTATTCTCTCCTTTCAATCTCAACCGTTTAAAACAAATTTGATGATTTTATGTCACATATTAGTGAGCTTTATTTTGTTGAACATAATCAATAAAGTAAGACTGATTAAATACGATTCTAACCTATCATATTTCTTTTGAATGATCCAGATTAATTAAATAAAAGAAAAAGGACAAAAATTAAAGAGGAGAGAATCTAAGTCGGTAATTATTATCGTTGTGACGGGTGTAAAATTTATCGATGTATCTAGCTAGTATTATTCCTAGAAAATGTTGAATCGTTGGCTTTTGCATTATGAATGTGCGCAAGTGTTGGACTGATGGAAATTGAATCAAATCCAGCAGAAATTTTTCAGACAAGGATTGTTTGCTCTCCTTGTTCTTGTGCTCTTTCATGCCCTCCTGTTTGTATAGTCACGGTTAAGCCACGTCAACATTTTATGTTACTATTTATTTTTGTCTTATTATCTCTATAAAAAAAACAATATAAAATGTTGTCGTGGCTTAACCGTGACCACACAAAATAGGAAGGCACGGGAGGGCACGGGAACAAGGAGGATAGACAATTCTTGTCCAAAATTTAAATGCACGTCTAGGCTTACCCACGTCAAGTTTGTGCCTCGGGGCTCTGGCAAGGATCACGTACCAAAACTGAAAGTTTTCTTTAAATTTCTATTTTTCTTTTAAATGAATGGGGCAATAATCTGTTGAAGAATATCATATTGGAAACGTAATTACAATATACAAGAAAATGAATTATTTTCTGCACACATGTTTTCTTCTCTCTCTTTTTTTATTTTATAAAAAAGATAATCAATGAAAAAGGTTAATCAGGAGCGCATAAGAAAAAAATAGTGTGTATAAACCGTCTCTATATTGAATGATTCACTACCACTTACACTGAGGCCGTTTTGTATTAATCCCACAGCTATTAGTATGTGCAAGTGGTTAAGACAAAGATATGAGAATCACATATATCAAACATCCTCATTTATGAACCACGTCCAACAAATAGAGCTTAGTATTAACGCATGGGAAGGATCCGAACTCAGTTACGAAACGTTTTTCAGTGTGCCAAGAACGCTACTCCGTACACCAAGTGTTATAATACTTTTCAGTATGCTGAGAACACTGTTCCATATACCAAGTGTTATAATACAAGTGGTTGGAAAAATATTTTCTTCAAGTATCTAACTAATTGTATTGTGAAACTTGGTTTATCGGATTGCGTTCTTAGACCAGTGAAAAATCATCATTAATAAAAGTTAAAACTATATACAACAAATTTAACTATTTAACAATAACTTTGACCTGTTTGGTACTCTACTTGAATTCAACTTTTTAAACTCAAAATTTTTTTTCAAGTTTTAGGCCTTAAAAATTTGTTCAGTATGATTATTTTAAAAAACCGAACTCAAGACTAACTCAAAAATATAGTCTATTCTCTAAAAATATAAAAAGTGAGTTTTTAAACTTAAACTCACTTATTTCTTTTCCCTTCATCCTCCCCTCTCACTCCAAATCTCTCTCTCTCTCTCTCTTCTCTCTCTTTTTTTTTTTTACCTTTTTCGTCTCTCATTCAATTTTCTCTCTTCATTCTCTCAATTCTTTCTCTTACTCTTCTTCCTTTTTATCTCGTCTGATCCTCTCTCTTTTCTCTTTCCTTGAATCATCTTTTACTTTCTTTCCTCCTCTCTCCTCTTTCTCCCTCTCCTGCGACCTCCTCTTTTTAGATATCTTTGTTTAGTTTAAGTCGTAAGATTTAAAAATTTTAAATCGCAAACCAATCAAGTTTTTTAATTTTAAAAAAAATATTTTTAAGAAATGTTTTGAAAAATGATAAAAAATTTCAAATAAGATACCAAACAGATCCTTAAGGACTTGGACTTGTTTTCACTTTGTAAGAAACCTTAAATAAATAAAGCTTAAATTAGAGGGATTAGGGGTATAATAATTGGAAGAATATAACATTGCAGTTGCAGATTACAAGGAAAATGCACATGCCATTTACTCGTAACAAAGTTTGACTCTTTAAACAGAGACTACCCTTTAATTCAGAAAATTAAACAAATTAAAATGCCAACCTGCATTAAAAGAGTTGGCTCTTTTGGCGACAACAAACCGCAGTTTTAGTTGGCCGAAAAACTGTGATCAACCACCGTGAATCCGCCGTCGACAACCAAGTTGTGTCCACTGACATACGCCGATTCATCGGCCGCAAGAAACAGAGCCGCGTCCGCTACATGCCTAGCCTTCAACACAACGCCCTTCAAATTTCCTATGGCGGAGCTATTGGCCTCAACCTCATCTGGCTCCAAATTGTACGCTTTGCACGCAAGCGAGGTTGCGACTCCGAATGGCGAAATGCTGTTAACTCGAATCCCGTGAGCTCCGAGCTCACTACAAGCTCCTCTGACCAAACCCAACAGAGCATGTTTCGAAGTGGTGTAAGCGTGCGGAGCCATGCCTCCGAGAGAGGCTGCAACACTCGTGGTACATATGATTGAACCACGCACGGCACGTGCCACCATGGCGCGTGCGGCGTGCTTGATGGTTGCAGCAACACCGCGAACGTTGGTGGCCATTGTGTTGTCAAAGCCTTGAATGTCGAGGTCTAAAATGCCAGTCATCGGACCCATGACACCTGCATTGCTGAACAAAATGTCAAGGCCGCCGTATTTTTCCAACGTGAAGTTCACCGTGTTTTCGACTTGATTTTCATCTCTGACGTCGCAGCGGCAGTAGCTAACTCTGTCTGAGCCGATTGAGGCAACAAGTTGATGACCTAATTCGTCTTGGATATCAGCAACAACAACAAAGGCCCCGTTGGCTGCAAATAATCTGACCGCCTCCTCACCAATCCCAGCTGCCCCACCAGTTATCAGGGCCACCTTGCCCTCCAACCTATAAATTTGAATCTTAAGATTAATGAAAAGAAGTAGAAGGTTGAGAAAAGAAGATATGGCAAATATAATTCATACCTTGGCTTAGACATTGATTGATGAGAGTGCTCAAACGTGCAAATAAGGCTATCTTTGGATCTGCATCTGCTGTTTATAATGCTCCCGTGGTATCATACACAACCATATATAATATTTGCTGGGCTGCACAGCTCAAGGCATGGACATGTGATATGTAATTATATGTATAGCCTATAGGCACGTGCTCAAACTTATTTATAATGCTCCCGTGGTATCATACACAACCATATGTAGTAAGCGTCTTGGATCTGCACAGCTCAAGGCATAGACATGCGGACATATAATTATTAAAATGTGTTCGAAATTTAGAGGCTGCTTTTTGTTTTCTTCCACTTTTTAAGTAATAGAGCTTACTTTGTCAAACAAATCCTACTTTAACCGTGATGAAGTTGAGTTTTCACATCATTTTTACCCTTTTCACAAACCTCTTTTTGACTTTGACCATTAAATTGAATAAAACAAAATGAGACATAAATAAAGACTTTTTACTTCTCTCGTTAAAAAAAGAAATGTGTTTGTCATTTTTCCATGCAAATATTTACTTTTGAAATAGTTCATAAAGTTAGCCCACGTAACAATCGAGGGCAGGATAATGAGTAAGGATTCCATCAGATTTATATTCTGTTAATATGAAACTCCAAAGCTAGACTTCAAGGTCGGCCCGGCCTCTCGTTCTTGGTCTCCGCGTCTCGATTGTTGTCTAGGACTGGCTTGGATATGATAACTCGCTAGATTCAATAGAAGTAGAACGAAGAATTGAATATCTACTTGCATATTTTATCCAAGTGAAGGTAGAAGATGAATAAGCCATGTATAAAACTATCCTCAATCCTAGGAGAGATTAGCTTTCTTGTAAGTTGTGGCTAATCCACCTTACATACATCTTCAGTTAAGCCAAAAATTACGAATAGGCATCCACTTTTATTATTAACATTCCTTGGGGGGGGGGAAGGGGATAGTATCAAATAACATGAAAGAATGCACATCTATAGCATCCAAATTCTGGCAGGCTTCCCTTCATCTCAAATTTAATGGGAATTAAAACACCACAAAATGAAAACTCCTGGTTTTCGAATTCAATCCATATCCAAAAAGGTTGCAGATCCACACACCCCAAACCAATCACACCACTTGGTAATTCTCCGTCACCAACTGCGTTCTTTGAGAAAACTTGGGAGCGGCTCCACCTTGCAGAGGTATAATGTTCAAAACCTGTGCAAAAAGGATTCAATGTCACCATCTTCAATTAAATTCTTACATAATCTACTACCATAAAGGCTGCCGAAAGTAAGTCAGACGCAGGTGACGGTAAGGGGCATAATATCAGGTTCAAAGCAATCCAAGGCCCTAAGTGTTAGTGGTGTGTGAAGCAGTGAATTCTTGGCAGTGTGATGAACGTTAGAGCATTATATAATACTTCACCGAGTCTAGAAGTAAAACATCCACAAAGGAATCAAGTAGTTATACTCATCGCACGGGTTTTTAAGTCCATAAAAAATGAGCTAAGTATAAGACAATGGAATCAACAAAGTATTTGCACTTATAACATGGGCTCTTAAATCCACCAAAATGAGAAAAATATAATAGCACAAGGATCTTCATCAAGAAAAGGGATTCAAAGTCCAGCAGTTGTACCTTCAGGTCACTGAATGTCTCAGTGGCAGCAAAGCGCACAGAAATGGGGAAAAATACAGATGGGTCTGCTGGGGGAACAACAAACTCCATTGATCCACTGCCAAATATTCAAGAAGGATAACAATTCCATTAACATTAGTTCACAAAGAATATGTAACGACCAAAAAGAATCAGTCCAGCATTTACAGACCTGCGGTTCGAGTTATCTACGAGAAGTATGGACCACTCCAACATTGAATTCCTAGCATCGTATCTGCAATGCAATTGTGATATCAAATTTATGCAATATAAATTCCACCGGAGCATAGAATTTTCAAATCCTTCTGCTCCAGGAGGAAAGCTATCCTGTCACATTGAAGCAGGAGCATTCGGCATTATTTCTGGGTCAATTCCATTTAGTATCTATTCCCAAAATCTATACAAAAGGTTTACGTACGTGAAGCAATACAAATGTCCATGAAATCAGAAGCATATACATGTGCTTAATCTGAAGTAGCAATCAGACAAGAACCCCTCTACATTCACACTTAACATTCACAGTGGATACTTTTGTACAGGTAAGATAATAACCACATTTCAGTTATGTATAGCTGTAGTTCTAGGTTCCAAGAGCAGAGTAAACAAGAAAAATAAGATGAATTTTCTTACCTCCATTCACCTTCAATCTGGTTTACACGTGGAGCCTCTCTCGCAGCTGGGAGAGGTACAGAGATAACAACATTTCTCAGATCAAACATCTCTGAAGCCTCATACTCAATGTTGACATAAGTTTCATTCCCGGAAACAGTGGGCCAACAGTTGACTGTAACAAAGATAGATTGATATATAATGATCAGGACACACGAGATAAAGCGTACACCAAGATGATGAAATAATTGAACTCACTTGTCAGGGGCACCATTGACTCATCTGAAGTCTGCATTCTCCATCTCAAAAGACCAACACCTCCTGCATCACCAGTTTGACCAGTGGGAAAAGGCCTAGAAGTATCCTTTAGGGCTAGAATGTTATTATTGGAGAATAGCTCTTTGTTCATGTTAGGGTGTGTTTTGAAAAGGATGCCAGGATTTCCACCAGTTTCAATCTGAAAAATAAGGTAAAATACATTTCAACGACACAAAACATTGGACCTACTTCTACAAGCTTATTAACCACAACCAAAAACAGATCACCACTCAAGATTTACCACAAATCAGAATGAAAACAAGTTTCAAAAGACAAAATTCTAAATAGGCATATCTCTATAAGTCTCCAATGGCAAGGATATCTGTGCAGTTTCCATCAGATTCAAAGAAAACCTAGTATTCAAATAAGGTTGCCAGATGTGTGACTTATACATGACATATCATTATGAGTGCTGATGAAACGTTACCACCTAGATTGTGCAATTGTGCCCATAGTAATATATGAGGCATAGTGATGAAATACCTGGACTTGGATATATGCATCTTCCTGGTTAAGAATTTGCAGAGATAATGTCCCTTGAACATCAAAGTTGCTCAACCCACCATCACGTTTAAGTGTTACGTTAAGTTTCTCTTCAACATTCAAAGTGACAGGATCAGTCAGAGGCGGGGCAGCTGATTTAGGTTGGCCTGCTTTTGGCTGTACATCTTCAAGAATCACCTCTCCCTCTGCTTTCAAGGACTCTAAAAATTGGTTGGTCCTTTGTGATTTTCCCAACTGCATACCCAAACCCTTTGGAGGAGCAGTAGCAGATGAAGGTGGACGACCTGAGGATGGAAGATAATGCATCAGAATAATTAGGAAAGCTTTAGAACTGCGCCAAAAACTTAAAACAGACCAAGGACACAATCTCTGGAATCCACCAGATTGAATAAAGAAACAAAGTTTGATTAAAATAATCTGAAGTCCGAAAATTAACGAAGAGAACTGTAGCCTTCAACTCCTAATCATTCCAGGGAAAATAAAAGTTGAGTCCAAATTAACAAGGAAATTGAAATCTTATTTGAAAAGGGAAATCCTAAAACATAAAAAGAAAAAAAATAAAAAGAAAAAAGAAAATCAAATAGGAAAAAGGAAAACTAACTTAAATCCTATTGCTAGTGGGATGAATAAATCCTAATCAAGTTTGGTTTGGTTGTCCTACATCAGAAGTGTACATGGTGAAATTATACAAATGAGAAAAAGAGGATGTATAAGGTACAACGGTGGCCAATAACAACCTTGCACATTATGTGCTTATAGTGTTTTCTTAAACAGAACAAGACAAGCTTTACCAATTGTAGCATTTTAATTATCATCAGGGAACTAGATCATAAAGTTTCTGCTTCCCATAATCAAACAGGAATCAAATCACATAGTACACACCACCATCACCACCATCATTGATTTCAGAGTGTATTCCGCAATTCAGGCAGACAAACAAACACAAACCTTTAGTCTTTGTGGAAAATGAGTCGATATCAGTGCTCAATCCGAAACCAGACCCACTTCCAAAGCCACTTCCACTACTGGATATGCTCATCTCACTAAATGCACTATCAATTTTTCCAGATCCCATTGACTGTAAAGACATAAATCCGCCTTTATCAGCTCTGCCCCTGTCAATCTGTAGAACATAACACAATATTATGGAACAGGAGGCTTACAAGGCTAGATAATTATGCAAAGCACTAAACTAGTAAAGGAGCCATCACATGACCCTAAACAAATACCTTGCTTTTGTCAATCTCACTAGCCTTCCGTTTCATAACATCCTTGGTCTCATTTATCTTGCTCTGCATCACAAGCTTGTGCAGTTTCTCTTCATGACTCTCCATTTCACAGTACTGCCTCACCTGTGCAACAGTCACATTTTCCTTGTGCCCAAGAGAGATGACTTCATCAAAAGCAAAAATCAGCTCGAAAGCTGTCCTGCATATACCCTCTTCATCTAGAGACATAGCGTATTCGGGAGCCTAAAAACAATTAAGGAATCAACTCAGCAGTTCTTTCCAACATTTAACACAAATATCCAAAATAGGAAAAGGCATAGCTCAAAAACAACTTATGGCCCAATTTGACCAGGACCATGGTATGTTCTGGAAACACAATACGCTCCTATGTCCAGTACAGGGTACATCACTGTTAAATTTTTGCCGATGGGATCACCATGCACATTGTACTTATTACTTGAGTTGCTTGGGCATAACTTGAAGGAACATCCATGCATGCATAAAAGCATAAGCACTTGCATACAAGCACATAGATGGGTAAAAGATATCGTACATACTTTGGCCCAAGTTCAAGCTTTATAATTTGGACATTTTAACTCCTTTTTTGTCACACATATCATGGCATGTTTAGAGACCAGTTTTGAAGAACATGATCTCCAAGTACCATGTGTTAGGATATGAGATATAGATCACCGTTCCCACGTGTAGTTGGAGAATATGTTAAAATGAAGGCATCAGCAAATGAATTGAAACAAAAAATGGGATCAAGATCCATGCAAACATGTTTTAGCATTCAAGCTTATGAAAACAAATTATTAACTCTACAAAACCAGTAATGATTCATGGATCCAAGAAGTTAAGTCACCAAAGGAAGATGAAAATAATCATATGCCAGAGAAAAAAGGATACAAGTTTAGAGAGTAGCCTCAGAGTCTCCAAATCTTCCAATATATTGCTCTGCTTGTTTGTAACAAGTACCAAGAACAAAGCTTCTATAGGCTGGTAAACATAGCGGACATTTTCTGTCTCAACATAAGTATGTTGTTTGCCAGTGCCTACCAACTTAGGGAAAGCCGCAAGAAGACCCTCAATTCTTATACGAGACATATCCACAAATTGTC